CGATCATGGATTACAAGAAAAAAAACAAACATTTTGATCATGGATTACAAAAAATTCGATCATGGATTACAAAAAATTCTATCATGGGTTACAAAAAAAAAAAAACATTTGATCATGGATTACAAAGAAAAAAAAAACAATTCGATCATGGATTACAAAAAAATCGATCAAGTATTACAAAAAAATCTATCATGGATTACAAAAAATAAAATAAAATAAAAATAAAAAAAAATATGTTCTTCGGTATGGGACTCGCCGATTCCGTACAGTGAATCGGCGAGTCACTGTGCAGAATCGTCCGGTTCTCTCTAGAACTGGACGATTCCCGTTTTTTTCACCGATTCGATCCGTCCATGGAGATTCTCGAGTCGAACAGGGCAAGTCCTGTTGGACTCGACGTTTTTCTAAACTCTGGTTGCATCGAATGCAATAATAACATTATGAAGGATAGTGGAAGAGTTTTGGTGTGATTAGAGATCTAAACATAGTAAAATAACTATTTAAGCAAAGATGTTCATCGTATCCAATAAAATCTACTAAAAATGAGCTCCTCCTATCCCAACCGTCGCCTCGCCTCGCCCTGTCCGAGCCAGTGTAGAAAAATCGAAGTCGCCTCGCCTCGCCCTGTCCGAGCCAGTGTAGAAAAATCGAAGTGGAATAGTTAGCCAGACATGGACTGGGAACCGCTCTAACCAATTCAACCCGTCTAATTAGACAAGTCTAATTAGAAATGTTAAAAAAATCTAATAATATATTTAAAATATATTAAAAGTTAAAATGAATGAAAAATATAAATTTTAAACAATTTAAAAGTATTTTTAAAATTTTCTAAAAAATATACGTAAATGTAAAGACAAGTATTAATGACCAAAACAATTTTTAACTTTTTCCATAATGATGAAAAATATTAAAAAATAGATTACCAACAAAATCCCTTATTTTTTGGATTTTATATATATTTTTTTAAAAAAAATTAAAATATCTAGCAGGTTACCATAATCGGCTAAAACCGAGAGTGGCCGGTTCTAATCTAATCATGGGGCCATTTTTTCCTTAAATGATCCTAACCTGTGTCCCATAGAGTTGGACCGGGTCAAAAATAAAATAATAATAATAAAAAATAAACAAATAAGCAAGATGACCAAGCAAGCCAACAAAGCTGGCACTAGTCTGGCTCTCGAGGCACAATTTGTAGCCCAAGGCCTTACTTTTTTAGGGCCGGCCAACTGAGGCCCAATGTGCCGTAGGGCCCATTGTCGGTCCTTAACTCAAGAAATCTCTCTCTAAGTTGGGCAACTCTCTCTGTCTCTCAGTGATTGATTGAGAAACAAAGTCTCCGAGAATCAAAGCGATGGAGGAGTTGGTATCAACTACAAAACGGTGAGTGAATTCTCCAGGGCATAACTTTCATGAATGATCAAGTACCACATATGAAGAATGATTTGATAAGGCTGTAGTCATATCAAAATAAGTAAATCTTCACTTCATAACTCATTGAACAATGCAAGTAAAGCATTGAAAAACCCTGATGATCCCGAATTGAACATTGTGGTTGTAAAAAAAAAAAATAGACTGTAAAGCTCTAAAAATAGTGTATATTGTAAAATATTATCTAGACTTTAAAAATAAATGTTGTACCATTTGTTGAGTTTCAAATTTTGTTGGTATTGAAAATTGATTTTAGAGCCATCATAGATATTTCCGTTGCTTAAAGTATTTTTTGGACGTGGATTTGAGGTGAGAGTTTATTTTGCTTTCATAAAACCTAGGCCTTATAAAAACCACGTCCTCTGGATATTGAGCCTTTCCTACAGAACAACCCAGTGAAAGTTCGTAAATAACCGATATACACCCTCGCCAAGCGCTTGTGGGCGAGAGGAGGGAGGTGGGTAGTTTAGGCATTCAGAAATCTTGAAAGAGAGTTTCGTATTTAGTTGAAGGAATTGGTGGGCAGATCTCATTAGCCCGTGGTGTGGTCTTTCTAGGGCTTATTATACACTTACTCTGGCCAAAACACATATTCAAGAGGACTTTTTTTTTTTCAATTTAGAATTCTGAAATTCATTTTAAAATCACTAAATGAATATTTTAAAAAACTTACAAGGAACTTACATTTCACTCTCTAAAAAGTAGAGGCTTTTTCTTTAATCTAATTAGGCAAATGTTAAAACAAGGCCTAAGCCCTATGAAAAAAAAGTAAAGCCGCCTCTCAAACCTCATCGAAAATTAGCCAGGACAGAGATACAAAGAGAGTAGCCACTGTTCACCACAGATCTTCGAACGCATGCACCCTAAGGGCAGGTGCAGCCCTCACCTAGTCACCAACCAAAGTGAGAGTTTGAGAAAACCAGAGTGAAAGTTCGAAAAAAAAAACCTTCGAATCAATCATCTCAACTTGACTAATATGGACGTGACAAAAATTAGGATTTCAAGGCTTCAAATAATATATTAAATTATAACACATTATCTAGACAACTCATTTTCAAGTGTTCATAGATCCATGAAGCCTGTATAATTTTTTGAGCTAAAAATTTTATAATTGATAATGGAAATAGATTGTAGAGCCATCATAAGGGTTTCCCACACCTAAAGTGTTTTAGATTATGATGTGAAGCTTTATTTTTTCATAAGCTCTAGGCATTATTGAAACTAAATCCATTTAATTATGTATCAATCTTGGATACTTCTCGAGGGTGTATAAAGTTTTTTTTTCCTATTTCGGAGGTTGAGATCAAATACATGTAGAGTTATGGAAAAATGAAACATAGGATTTCAACAGAGGGAGTAAATGCGAAACATGCTCCCGCGGGAGCATAAGATATAACTAATGGGGGAATAATTCTTTCCCGCCCCACCAAGGAGGACTTCACGTATTTATTGAATTTCCAGCTCTTTATTGGATGCCGTGCAAAGGGGGGAAGTTGACTACCTACATTGAATTGGAGGAGAAAAATGCGTGTCTTTGTGCCCTGTGACGCGTGCTACAAAACGAGTCATAAATTTAACCTCCAAATTTCAAACAGTCAAAATAAAGAGGAAGTATTCACATTTTCAGAGTTTCCAAAATGATATAAGAAAATATTTTATTCAACAAAATATTCCATGAGGGTAGCACAGGAGAACATTACGTTTGCTCTATTGGATAAATTAGTGTTCGACTTTTCGGGTGAGTCCGCTCGGACCCGGCCAAGTGACTCGCTTTCACCATCTTGATGTGCTCGAATATCCTGAAGTTAGGTGTCCAACTTAGGGATCTTAAAAAATAAATTCTAAAAGCGTTACATAAAATGTTTTAAAATGAGAATTTTTGTTTGTAACATGTTTTTTTTATGTGTTGTATCATTTTAGCAAAGATTGAAAAGTATTTTCGCCTTGAATACTTACTTTTTGACAATTTTTTTTTTTTGGATTATTTCAAAAATATCTCCGGTCACAAAATTGATTTTTCAAAATCTATTTTTATACTGTTATTTTAACCTCATTTAGAGGTGTTTTGTTTAATTTTACTTTAAAAATAGATTTTAATAGAAAAGTTACGCAAGTTAACTCTAAAATAATGAGATCTAGATGGAGCAACCTTGTGGCATTACCATGCATTAGTGTGGTATTAATGAGGTTGTGGGCTTGTCCAAACTATACCCTAGCATATCGCACCTGGTTATTGAAGGGGATTATGCCAATATTATTGCATGGTGCAAAGACCCAGAGCATGTGCCTTGGGCTTGGACTTCTATTATGGATGAGATTATTCTAAGTCTATAGGGGAGATGCCTATTGCTTAGCCAAAGAAAGAACACCGTCTTAGTTCTATTTTTTTTGTGCTCTATTTGTCTAATCTTATCTATTACTCTATTCTCTCTTTTCTTTTTTCTTTTCTTTTCTTTTCTTTTCTTTTTTTTTTTTTTTCTTCTTGGGAGCTGTCCCCCTCTTTTTTGGTCTTCCTTTTCATTTTTGTTTTTTTTGCTTTTTGTATCTCATCGTTATCTCAATGAATTATACTTGCCGTTTTTTAAAAAAAAAAAAAAAAAAGAAAAAAATGGATAAACAAAGAAACATGAGGCCCTTATGAGTAACCCACGCGTGGGAGCATCCTATCATACAAATACTCCCTTAGGCAAAATAGCTACTTGAGGGATTTTCTCTTATCCAAAACTTTAGGATATTTCCTGAGTATCACTGCGTTATTGAACATCCAGATCATTCCCCTCAAAAATTGGATAATTGCTTTGCAATTTTGGGATGTCATTTTCTTTAGGCATGTAGAGAGTAAGATATTTTTTTTCTCCTTGAGTGAACTGCTGAGTTCTAGAGATTACATCCCCAAATTTGAGATCTAAAAAAAAATCTCTAACATGAGTTTTGCTCGAGAAAGTAAATGGATAGTATACTCTTGAAGGAGTATAACATCTTCTAGCAAAATTAGAGCAAACTAGTTTTGTAGTTCGTTTGGTGAATAAGCTGGAGGGATTATGACACTTGAGGCTGTGAAATACGATCGTCGCTCATCAAATTCAAATAACGCTATAGGATCTCTCATGTGCATCAGTAAGTGCGTGGGCCAGTGATCGTAAAATCGAATAAGAGGTTAACCAGATATGGCGTCGGAAGAATCTACTAAAATATAAAAATCATATAAATAATGATTAAAACAAAACACATTCAAATGAAGTTAAAAATTAATTAAAAAATTGATTTTAAAAATAAATATTAATGACCAAAACAATATTTAATATTTCCCATAATGTAAAAATTATTAAAAATGTATTACAAATCAAATTCTTTATTTTTGAGATTTTATATACTTTTTTTAAAAAAAAAAAAAAATACCAGTAGATCAACAAAACCGCTTGAAACTGGAACCGGCAAGGGGCCAGTTCCGATCTAACCAAGCGGTTACCGGTTAGATCACCCGATTTTTCTGACAATGGTGTGGGCACCATAAACAACTTGTCCTCCCCGATTTTTCTCGACTGGCTTTTTAGAGGGGCAATCTGGGTCACCGAATCATGTTTTTAAAACCTTGGTAGGAGCAATCCAACCCTCTCTATTCGTGGTTAGCAACATAAAACTCACTTTCTTTAACTTGAAACCCTTATCTCAAAAGAGTATCCAGATCATTTGCTTGGGAAACTTATGTGGTCAAGTTACCTAAATGCGTCTCCTTATTTACGCCTCTAAATACAAAATATTGACAATTTGGATTTAAAAAAAAAAACAATTTTGAGGGAGGATGATTTGTCCACCTTAATGAGTTTGTACGATTGTTTGACCATTTAAATGGTCTTTCCCCTAAAATGTTTTTCAAGTAAATATTTTTGGCTCAGAGCAAGGTAGATAAGGTGGCGGATGCAGCAACATGACATTTACAGTTCCATTCTCATGAAGACCCCCTAAAGCCCTTCCTTAATAATTCTTTTTTTAATTTTATTTAATATTTTCTTAGATGCCCTCCATATCCTTACCATATAAACTTTTATTTTTATTTTATTTATTTATTAATATCATTGATTCAGACTCATCTAGACTCGATCCAACGATCCGACACAAATTTGTGGAGAAATGATCTACTATAATTTTAATTTTAATTTTATTTATTTATTACTATATTTTTGAATCATCGATTTGAACTAATCAAAACTCGACACGAATTTATGAACAAATGGATTTTGAAAAACTGATTTAACAAGGCGTCGAATAAGACAATTTGGCAATAACGAACTCAAGCCTTCTTAATGTCAGTCGTGCATTTAGGAAGAAACAAAAATATGGAAGAGATGTCACAAGCATCAAACGGCGCTCATGAAGAAAATGACACACATCTTTAATGCGTTTTGTCCGCCATGAAATACGACTGTCACTATAGCTGACAGAATTCGAACGGCACTTCCATGATAGATATAGAACTTGATTGGTGGACACCATGTATGAGACGTTGCCCAATATTGAGTTCCAGACAGGTTTTAAGAAACGGATATGTCACCCAAATCACCTCTTTCAATTTCCGGCATGTCAACGATCTGGAGTGGCAATCCAAAAAACAAATTAGAAAAGAATTAAGTGGGCTTTGTTTGGTAAGAGAACCAGTCATAACTAATGAAAACTGACCGATTCAATAGTTAAAATAATAATAATAATAAAAATTAAAAATTAAAATTCTATGACAAAACCGACACGACTAACCGACCGATTCATGATCCAAATCACCAATTTTTTAAATCCTTGCTCCACAAGTTGCATTGATGTCAATTACAAAAACATGAAAAGCAAGGCTTATGAGGATCTAGACATGAGCACGTATACTATGCTCATGCGGGAGTAAACCGTGCATCTAATTCACCTATTCTAGTGTATTTTTTAATCCGAAATTTTGGGAACCAGATAATTATTTTCAAAACAAAAAAACTGTAGCTTTGAATTTTATAACATTTAGATCTAGCCTTTAAAAAATTGGAGGCACTATTTTCTCCTATTACATTAAACTTATTTTGGGAATTTTTTTTTGAATTGAGATTAGCCTCTAGAAATTACATCCCCAAAATTTGAAATCCAAAAAAACTTGGATGCGCATTCCCCTGTAAATAAATGGATAGTATACTCCCATGGGAGTAGGATGTCTTTTGGCTTTAGAAATATTATTAATACATAATCATAAAGTAGTAGGATATCTTAGAAACTAATCAAGAATATTTTGACATAAAGCCATACGGGTTTGCGTGTCTACCAAGAGCCTATGAGCGCATTGCACTTGGCTACTTATAAGAGCTTCTCTTCAATGGAAAAAGATCAAATTTGATTTTAGGAAGGGAATGAAAATCATCATCATCATCATCAGAGCATTTTCCCACCTATTTGTGGTCGGCAAATGCAAAACACATGTATACTCCGATGCCTCTGAATGCCTGTCACGAGAGGGACAGGAGGCACACATCAAGGAGCGAGAGAAAGGAATGGGAATGGAACGTAACTGGCATTGGTTTAAGGATCAATGGTATCTCATATTACTATATTTATAAAGAACAATACTCTTCCCAGTTCAAAATTCAAACTCTATATGAAATCATGAAGGAACAAAATAGAATTTTCTAACCATGACCGAGGAATAATGAAGCAGAAGGGACAGGAGCTCAAGATTCAGAGCTTTAATCAACCACATTTTCAGATATTTCTAATTCTTATGGTACAAATGCAGTCAGCTTTAAACCAAATCTTAATGAAGATTAAACTTACAATAGTCCAACCTTGAGGTCACCATCCTTCACTGCAACTCTTCAGAGTTGAAAGTAACAACATTCCCCTCGAAAGCCGCATATCGATCATCAACTCCCAAAGGGTTGTCACTTCTTTATGAGAAGAACCACAGTGTGAGCTGCAATACTTCGGTTCTCTCCAAGGCTGTCAACCTTTTCATGAGTTTTCGCTTTAAGATTGACTACGCTAGGATCTGCTCCAAGAAGCTCACATAGGTTGGCCCTGATTGATTCTTTGTGGGGGCTCAGCTTGGGTCTCTGCAAGATGAGGGTGGCATCCAAGTTACCAAGTTCATAGCCTGCCTCATGCATAAGCTTCACCTAAGATAACAAGCAACTCAGAATGTGAGTGCTGTAGCTTATGTTTAAAATCAATGGGTTTTTGGTCAGTGTTATAAATATTGTGTATGCAGGCCAACAAATCAAATTTGCCGGATTAATAATTTGCATTCCACGATGATCATATTGATAAGGTCCATGAAGTTATTTTATAACGCGTAAAGTACATGAGGTTGTCATGGATCTCAATGGAAACTTCAAGGTCTATGAAGTTCTCATTGAGCTCTCACACAAAATTCTAATCGTTAATTGGAAAGCAGAGAAGGGCATTCCAACCCAAAACCAAAGCTTTGCAACTATGACAACAATGCTGCCAAATATGGGAAACATTCATTGAAGGCCTGATTCACTTTTCTACCAATCCAGGGGGTACCTTATTCACATTCCTTTTACTAAGCCTAACATTATATTGCCGTCATTATGCCCATAGGATCTCCATATATTTCTATAAATTTTAGTTACCCTCTCTGCCTGACACATGAACTACTATAATGGTAAATCATGTGTATGTAATTCTTTCTGTGAAATAGACACTAATCTTCATTTTTTTCAGTATCGAAGCTATAGATAGTCCTTATTTTGGATAATCCGTCCTTATTTTGAATAATCCTATCAAATTGAGAAAATGAATTATAATTAGTTAAGATGAGAAATTCATGAATGTATGTGCAGATAATATATCATCACATAATAACCCAAATGATGAATTTTCTGTCAGGATTGTGCTAAATATCCACTCAACCATCCTAGTACCTAAATTTTGGGACCCACAAAAGTTCCATTAAAAAATAGATTTCTACATGTTTGAGAATCCCCATAATTAGGTAGAGGTGTTGCTTTGCTGCAACTAATGGATGATGAATATTACAACAATATAAAGGCTCTCAAGATTTCCTTACCCAGCATCATGGGTCAAAATATTCAACTTGGTATTCTGCATAAACTGGAACATTCATGTCTAGGGCTGTAGGGCAAAGTCTAGGGCTGTAGGGCAAATTGGCTCAGCAAGAAATTTGAACACCAAAAATTAACATTTTCCTAAAAGAAACAGGATTTGCTAAACAGGGAAAGACAAGCAAGTCTTCAAACCCATAATCATCTGTTGAAAAACTCAGGTAAGTCAAGTTCGCAACTGACCTATGTTTTCAAAGTCAGACCCCTCTCAAGTCAACTTTTCTTGGGCAAGCAAACTCCGCAACTCACCCAGATTTAAAAAAAATGGTTTATATTCAAAAGTCAATTTGACTCGGGCAAGCCAAGTTGACTAGGTTGGACTTTTCAAACGATGCCAATCATGTCTGAAACCCAAAATCACTGACTTATCTGATATTCTGGTCAAAATTCAAAAAAACCTCCTGATTGGAATTCGCCAACAAGCCTGACAACAAGGGAAGGGAAATACTTTGCCATATCAAAAACGTGCCAATCCATGGGCAAGTGTCATTAGGCGAATTATCTAATGGTCATAGATTTTAAAATTTCATGCATCAACCAGCATATTAGCGCATGAAGTTGTGAAATTACACGATGTTGGAAAAATGGGGATAGCATGGGTTCATAACGGTGCACGGCGAACAAATTAAAAATTAAACTTTATGAGAGCTGCTTGCACTTAGTAAGTTAGGATGGAAATTTCAACAATTCCTAAAATATTTGCACTTTCTGAAAAAGAAAGATTTTGGACTGTAGCTACTGCCGAATCCATACAGCCAATCATTCAATAGAGCGGGACAACAAGAAGGTATATTCGTAGTTGTTAAAATAGTCCTGCTAGAGACATGTTTGTCAAGCAAGATAAACGTATCTGAATCCACATGGAAAGGAAAGGATTCATGGGAAGTTACAACAAAGTTAAATGCAGACTGCCTATCTAACACAACCCTCCTCCTTTACCGGGGCTTGGGACCGGCAAAGGATGGCCACGGCGTAGTGAACAATGCAAATCCCTTCAGATATCATAGGCTCAACCAGTGATCAAAATCACCTCTGTCTTCCTAAAATGCTTTTGTGACACAGGCTTGGGCTTGACTGGTTACAACATGCCATGTTTGAATAGTACCAATGAACTACATAACCAATAAAAAAAAAGAACGAGAGAGGACAAAGAAGTATATTTCTCCATTGTCTTTGCCTTCACCGCATAAATTTTCAACCAGCGAGGATGAACATGGACAATAAAGGACCATTCAATCCATGATAAATTCAGTCTTCCATTGATCTAATCCGTAAAAATTTTCCGCCTGCCAAGTCTTTGTGGCAGCAAGCAGTAAGCAATGTTCAGTTTCTAGAAAAGCTTCCTAACCTTCATCTTTTACTCTGCTGGATCCTTTCAATGCCATGTTTAGGATCATTCTCCCTTTCTCCCTAGCCTACCGACCATGATGGAGACCATAGAACTAGAAGCATGATTTGAGGAGTCAAGCATCAGCCATCAGGGAGTGGTAACGAGTAATGAGTGATATGAGCCACACATTTCTATTCAAATTTAACCATATGTCCACATCTAGTGACCTGACTCATCAATGCACAATACACGTAAAGAAAGAGATCGGCACCCCGCATACCACCATGCCCTTTATCAAAGTCATCAAGATCATTATTCAAATTTAACCACATGTCCACTTCTAGTGAACTGACTCATCAATGCACAATACACGTAAAGAAAGAGATCAGCACCCCGCACAAGACCATGCCCTTTATCAAAGTCATCAAGATCATTCTAGCAAGAAGCCTTAATTTTTTAATGGCCCCAAAAGGATAAGCAGAGGGAAAGCTCTAAGCCTGACAATAAGGCCAACGTATCCGTCCCCAGTGCATCACAAATACACATGGACCCTGAGGCTATGCCAACACAATGAACCAAGAGTTGCCATCAAATATCAGTATTCAGTGGCACCCTGTGAAATGGCCCATGCCCACAATTACCTCAGTTCGTAGCTTAGGTTGGTCACTTAGAGGGTTGGCATCCAATATCAGACATGGTCATACAGCTCCAAAATAAGATACATGGATCCCAATGGTCCACATGAGCACGCAATACCAGATATGTTCCCAGAGAGTCCTGCACAATATGTACAGGTTTGATTAAAGATCCTATTCTTTCTCTACTTCCAAGTGGCTCAAAAGATGACAGGAACACATCTTCTAGATAATGTTTCCGGTACTTTATCTTGTTATAAATTTAATCTAAATATCGTATGCCATTATTGTGTTTGCGTGATCATTGGGATTTGTATCTCAAGATGTCTACTAAATGTAGGAGCCTATGCTTCTATACGGGCATTCTCTTCCCTAAGTAAGATTTGTAGAGTAAATAAAATGGTCCTATAACAAGTTACATCAAAGTTTCTTCTCTTTTATTTTCATGTGCTTCTCTCTCATAGTTCTCTATTTTCCTTTTAACAAGTGAAATTGCTCTATTGCCCAAACTTTCGAAATGATCTTTTAAACTTCTATCCCATTCAAATAGAGGCCTCAATCATCACTAAAAGACACTCAAATGCCACAAATTAAAAGCCCCATACCATCGTTAAGCCTTGGTTCCGGATCTACCTCGATCTATAGATTGTAGAGGTTTCACCCAAACCTTAAATTGAAATTCAAAATCACATATTTGTAAATTTAAATCACGGATCCAAAGATAACATAGAAATAACCCTGAACTGATATTTTCAAGCCGTAGCAAACCACCATGTGGCTGCAAAATTTAGAAAGCGCATTCAGTTTTCCTCCCCAAGGCATTCACTTTTCTACCCCCACTTATTCACAAGAAAGTGTCAGACTTGGGTATTTGTGGAGACTTGGGTAAGACTCAAGAAACCGCTGGGGTATGTAACCGGGTACTTCAGTCAAAATAACAAGTCACTAGGGCCCTCTAGAGCTGGCAGGGCATCAGTTCCACATGAGTCATGTGATTGCTAGTTAGACTTGCTAGGCCTTTGAACTAGGGGTGGCAATGGCCTTAGCCTGGCCCTAGTCACCATAGGCCTAACCCTGCCAGACCCTGTCAGGGCTAGGGTGGGCCAAATACAATAAAAAAAAAAACAAAAAATAAAAACTAAGGTAAAGGGGTTCGGGCCAAGCCGAACGTGTCACTGCCCAAGCCCAAGCTAGACCAGGCCAGCACCGGCCCTTGCCCAGTCCTCGTACCAAATTTTGTGGCCAAGGCCCTATTTGTTTTTGGGCAGCCGGCCCATTGCCAACCCCGCTTTGAACATTGGCATAAAACCATGCTATTAGAAACATAGCGACCAATCTCATATTCAAAACAAAGAGTATGGTCTAGTTCAACCAGTCAATCAGAAGCAGACTCGGTCAAGATTTGGATCTTCCAAGTAGCAGGTGTTAGTTTGGAGTGACACGGGTGGGTCTAAGTCATCTCACTCAAGTTTGAGACGGAATCACCGAGGTTTAAATCATAGTTATTCGGATCGGGAGCGAGAACAGTACCGGGATCGGGATCGGGATCGGTATCGAGATTGAGGAATTGTGAAATGCTAGAAGATCTCTATGGTTGGAAAAGCTGTCCGTAGAATGCACATGTTAGCGATCAAGATCCCAAATGTTAGGGATCAAGATTCCAACCTTTTGGGGATCTTGATCCCGACCTTTTGGAATTATATCCCAACTTTTTGGGGATCTTGTTACCAACCCTAAAGTGTATGATAATCTAGGATTATATATACTCTCTAAAGTAGGGATCTTATTATTGATAGCAAGCAAGCAATAGTTGTGTTGCTAGTTGGTTATAAATAAAGAAAATCATTAGTTTGGTTGTTATCTTGGTCATTTAGGTTAGGATCGAGATCCCTAACAGCAGGAATCGGGATCCCTATGAGTGGGGTTCGAGATCCCAAAATTTAAAAATCGAAATCCCTGAAAGATCCGTTCTGGGAGAGACGGAATCAAGATCCTAGAAGGGATCGCCTACCAAAATAGGAGATCCCAGTAACTATGGTTTAAATTTTCAAATGGAACCAAATTAAAGCCAAACTGTCCAAGTCACAAGTTTCCAAAATATGCTACTGTTGAATTCTAGTTCAATTACACCATGGTCTAAATGGGGATCTCCGATAAAATAATCAAATATTGGAGAAACCAAAACTGAATTGATGAATTTCTTGCCTAGATTGCCTAGAAGATAATGAACCTGAAGAAGCTGGCCTTGGATTGAAAGTACTTTATTATGTGAAACCCATTTTGGGAGCAAAAAGGTTTGGGAGGTATTACTAGACCAATCTATGCTAGCATGTGATGTACACTTCAAGTTGAACTCTAAATAAAGCCCCAAAACATTACCAACAAACATAAAATAGTATAATCCATGCATTAATAGATATAAGAGTCTTTACCTTTTAGATCTAAATATGAAAAAGACAATGAATATATAATACAAAATTGGATTATCTTTAGCAACAAATAGGAAAGAAGTATAGAGATGAGCAACATACTGCTTCTCTCATGAAGACAGATGATTCTGCTCCCCGCCATTTAGGATCACTATCAGGGAAAATTTGGCCAATATCCGGAAGTCCAAGAGCCCCCAAAATTGCATCGACCACACAGTGCAGGAGCACATCACCTATAATTATAATTTTCTTTCAAACAATCAGATATGATTTTAGGCAAGAAGTCAAAATCAAGGTAGTCACCATAAAAGTTAGCTAATTTAAACAAGAAATGAAACTTCTAAAACGCAAGAAAAATATCAAGGACTCAATTAAAAATGGAAAATGGTCCCACAAAAACTTATGACAACCAAGCATAACATTATTGGGAAACTCCATAAGTTTAAGCACAAAACATGAAGGCTCCTTGGATGATTAAAATAGCGAAGAACACCGTTAATCTATTCAAAATAATGCACGAATGTTTCCTTCAGGGCAAAGCATGGAATATATTAAAACAGAAGTATATAATGATTCTGAAACCCAGTCATGAAAATGAATGAGATATCACAGGACAGTCAAAAAATAACAAGCCTTTCGTATAAACAATACAAATTGAAAAATTAATTTTCCTCAATATTATCCGCAAGTACGGAATTACACCATGAGAAAATGCATACACAAAAATTACTTAGTTAAAAAATTTCTTAACATGGCAACTAATGAAAGCAAACACAAACATGCCTAATTTATTCAGGAATCAATATAAAATCCAGAAGAATTACTCCAGAGACAACAGGTAAACAAAATTTACCCGAAATAAACCAAAGCAATCGAGATACCAAAGTAAACACAAGCCAATTTTCTACAAAACAGACTACGGAGAGAAAAAGCCATGATTCAAAGGAGAGCAATTTACATGGAAGAACAAAATGAAACCCTAATCTCACCATCAGAATGAGCCTCACAACCTCTATCATGGGGTATATTGATTCCTCCAATAATGAGAGGCAAACCAGGCTCAAGCCTGTGAAGATCGAAGCCATGCCCCACTCTAAAAGGCGGTGAAACCCTAGGTTTATCGGAGCTCCTCTTTGTCTGCACCTCAACAGCACTGTTCATAGCGTGACATCGCACCTCCACTCTTCGCCCAAATTCGCTAGAGCTCCACAAAATTGAACTGAAAAAGAAACCAAATTTAACAAATCAGATTAGAGAAACTAGAGAGAGAAAATCATATAGAGAGATTGAGGATGGTGAAGACCGTGAGTTAGTGAGAGAAAGGGGATTGATAGGAGAGAGAAAGGGTGTACTGGCGCGGGTTTTAGAAGGAAACTTAGTGGTGAAAAGAGAAGGAGTTGGAAGAAGAGCCGCCATTGCCTCCTCGTTCCGCAGGGCAAACGTGGTCCGCGTTTGGAGTTAAAAATGGCAGAGGGCGCACGCAGATAGAGACAAGAACCGGGAATCATCCATCTCCCCTCCACTTAACCAAGTGGAAGCCCATGCATTTTTAAAAACGGAAAAGTTTATATAGAGCCGAGGCCCTAAACAATCAAATTAGAGCCTACCTCCAAATTTTCACCAAAAAATATTGTTTTGATGCTCAAATGTCTTCATCTCGACATCAAGATGCATGGACATGAGAAAAAAATAAATTTTAAATTTTTAAAATAGTATATTTTGTAACGTATTTTTGAACCGTCAATTTTTAATATTTTCAAATATCATACATATGTTGATTTACACTATTTTTGAAGCTTTAAACTTTATAAATAAATATGAAAATATATTTTTACACTATTTTTAAGCTTTAAACTTTATAAATAAATATAAAAATATATTTTAAGGCTATCACAAAGATTTTCAGTATTGAAATCATATTTCTCGACACGATTTGAAGGTGATCTCTAATTTGATTGTTTAGAGCCTTGGTTTAATACAAACTGCGCCATTTTAAAAATGGGTGCGGTTTGTACATAACCCCTAAACAAACAAATTAGATCCTACCTTGAAATAGTGTCGAGAAATATGAATTTAATACTGAAAATATTTGTGATAGCTTTGAAATATATTTATCTTTATTTATAAAGTTTAAAGCTTTAAAAATAATGTAGATCAATAGATCTATGAAAACTTAAAAATCTTGAAAATTGATGATCCAAAAATGCGGTACAAAATACACTATTTTCAAAACTTGAAATCCATTTTTTTTTTTCATGTCTATACATCTTGATGTGAAGATGATCAATTTGATGATATTTGGGCATCAAACGACTTCTTCCCGTAAAATTTTTGAGGTAGGCTCAAATTTAATTTTTGAGGTAGGCTCAAATTTAATTGTTTAAAAATTGGATGATTTCTATTTAATCTTGAAAAAAGGTAGGCTCAAATTTAATTGTTTAGAACCTCGGCTGTATATAAACTTTTCCCTTTAAAAATTGGATGATTTCTATTTAATCTTGAAAAAAGTTGCAACCTTAAGATGTAGAATTAAAGGTGCGCTTCAAAAACACGTCATAAAAAGTTGTTTGAATGTTGGAAAACCCTTTAATTGATCATCTCAGCATCGAGATGCATGAATATGAAAAGAAAAAAAGATTTAAATTCAATGAAATAGTGTATCTTGCAACACATTATCTAGACCATCCATTTTCAAGATTTTTGTGTGTTTATAAATCTACTTGATTTTAACTATTTTTATAATTTAAAATTTTATAATTAAAGATAAAAATAAATTTTCAAGCCATCCTAAGAATTTTTTATATTAAAATTCTATTTACGATAAAATTTAGAGGTGCACCTTAATTAGATTGTTTAATGTTGCAACCTTATGGAAACCACACCCTTTCATCTTTTATGCACTTTTTTTTCAAGTGCTTAGAGTGTAGGGGTGGCAATAGACCCTAACCCAACCCAAGACCTGAGGGGTAGACCTGAGTCTAGTTTGGGTATGGGTCCAATACTTGGACCCGGCCGGTCGGGTAGGGTCCAAATCTTGGACCCAAACACTATTCGGATCCGGGTCTGAGTCTAAGTTCGATCGGGTCCGATTAGATCCGAATCCGGTAATATTTTTTAGGTCCCAATACATGACATATATTTAAATTTACTTAAATACCTAAATATTTTGAGTTTTGGGTCAAGTCTAATCGGATCCTGTCAGGTCCGAGTCTAGGTCCCACTCTATATTTTCAAGTTCAGGGCCCTGGATCCAGACCGAGACCGACCCATTGCCACCCCTGTTAGAGTGTGCAGTTAGGAAAACAAATTATATTGAGGATAATCTGTATTAAAGATGTTATATTTCTAACATTCTGAGTCCTAAAACTAATGGCAAGTGGGGTTTTACCCGATGGACTAGATAGACAGTATACTCCCTGGGGAGTAGGATATCCTTTGGCTTCAAAAGTTGGAAGGAAAGAAGCGAGATTCTAAGAAATATGGACACTTGTGTCAAGGGTCAGAAACAACAGGTTGATATTTAGTGACATAGATAATGTGGCGATATTTTCAGATATAGACATGACACCTCTATTTAGTGTCCAGCCTCTTTCTTTTAGAAGAATGTAAGGGGCCATTTTCTTTTAAAATTCAAAATATACTTTAGAAATAAAAGTAGATAATTTATTCATATTTAGATACGTCAATGTTGAAATATCCATTCTTTATAAATATTTTCTATTTTCTATTTTAAAATATAAAAATTTGAAACGTTCACTTTTTAAAGCATAGGATTGTCCATGTTTTACGGAAGTTAATTTTGAAACGTCCCATTAACATAAATTAAATTTAAAAAATTGTTTGTGTTTATATATGAAAATTTTCCATGTTTCAAAAAGTCAATTTTGATCATTTTATATTTTCAAAACAAAACAAATAGTTTTGAATACAAAATAAAGGACACTGATTTCATGCAACGGTTGTATCATATTATAATGCAACAACTTTAAAAAACAATATTAAGGTCATTTATTTGATCCAAATTTTAAAATATACCGTCTTTTCATTCAAATGAACAATCACAAGAAAGAAAAATTTGAAAACGCAGCCTAAACTTAGTGGGCTAGCATTTTGATTACCCCAGTGTGTTGCACTTAGTGAAAACATACCCTTTTAGAAAGAAGAAATCTAGGGTTTCACTTTCTCCATATTGAAGTCCGGTATTGTGCTATATACCTACAACAAGTATGCCTCGGTGACTTTATTTTGCATCAAAACACCCCCAAAACAGGTCCATTGGCCACTTAGGCCCTATATGTGCACAAGGATCGCATGTGTTTTCTTTGTTTGGTGTTTTCTTTCGACAAAACCATTTTACAATTGAGATGTCCACAAATAAAATTATTAAAAAAAATAAAAAAATAAAAAATCATTTAAGACTTCCTCTTACATGACAAATTATTTTTGGCTTCAATAAAAAACGAATTTGAGGGAAATCAAGTTCTAAGTTTTTAGCCTAATTAACATGAACTATCCATTTTGATAAGATGCTTAGATCTAAGCTTTAGAAAGATATTTTCAATTTTTTTAGATAGCTTAAGAACTCTATTAAAAAAGAAAAAAAAAAATGATTAAGTTTGTAAAGGCTTAGATCTTGAAATTCACCAAATGAATGATCTAGATTCGTTGTTGAAGGGGACTCATTTTGAGCATATTTAAGATTCAAATTGAACTTTTTTTGGGGGCTTGATTATTGAGATGAAGAGAGTGTGTGTGCAAATTTTTGGGTCGTACAAAAACCACAAACATGGTTTTTTAGAAGTGTGGTTGCATTATAATATGATACAACCATTGCATGAGCTCACTACCCCAAAATAAAATAAAAAAATTTATGTTTTTAACAAGGTTTATGTAAGTCATTATTTCCATAAATAAAAGTAGTAAAGGATGAGGTTTTTATAATGACTAAGCTTTATGAAAACAAAATAAAGCCTCGTCTCAAATCCTCATCCGGAAAGCGATTTAGGAAAAAGGAAATCTTCATGATACCTCTAAAATTAATTTTCAAAACCAACAATAAAAAGTTGAAACTAAAAAATGATACAGATCTAGATAATTTGTTACGATATACACTATTTTTGGAGCTTAAAATCTTATGTTTTTTTGAGCCATTATATTCAAGTCAAGATAATAGATGTAAATGTTTTTTTTATGCTTGAATTGTGATTTTGGATGACTTATGAGGTGAGGGCGCTACTTACTCTGCTAGGCCTGCAGCGCTATCAAACCATTTTCTATAAAGGTTTACTACTATTTCATGTACTAGTGAAACCTCCAGGATTTCTTCCCTTTAAAGTAGCGAATCTCCATCTCGCTGGGAATGTTCATTTACCTCTTATAGAAACTACACGTAAATTTCAACTATTAATATGTCACGTGTAATGCATGTGATATTCAATGAATTTCTAACTTATAAGACTTGTCTTTTCGCTTCATTAATATGCGGCGATCACGTCAAATTTAAGTTACATATTTCCACTTTGTCCACCCAGCTCTGTGCGATATCTTCCTCAATTTTTCTATTTTTATGGATTATCAACCCAAAATAGAAAAAGTATACACTTTTTAGTATTTTTTAACCGTCAATCTTAACTACTTCATCGTCTCTATTCCTATTATTACCAAAACTTATATTCTATATATTTTGTTTTAGTCCAGCTAATTTTAAAAGTTTTAGATTCTAGAGGACTCCTCCAAAGTTCTAACTTTGTGTTAACTCCAATTAGAATCTCATTTATTAAAACTTTGCCTTTTATGAACAATATACACCACCATACTTCATTTTGAAGGTGACTAGTTAAGTCATCTATAACTAAGATTGAGATACAGGCTCAATGCTGACCGTTGATGTAAACCACTTGTCAAAACTCACTCGTATATCCATTAATTATTCGTACACTCGTTAGCGCTCTCTCGTACATATCTCTTACCTAGTCGATATAGTGTCTGGATATTCTTTTCTTTTCTAACATCCGTTAAATCAAATCTCAATATACTTTATAGAAGCCTTATATTTAATATGAAAATTCCATGATTTCGCTTTTTGGAAAAACTTTTCGGCATTTTTAACATCACGGGATTTAATTACGATGATAGAAACGTACAACGCACCCCGCGGCCCCCTTTTTTTTTAAAGAAAAAAAAATGCATGTAAAATGCACTTGGCCCTCGCTAGTATGATTTATATGATGGCGGGCGTTTAGTATTTGTCTTTTAACAGGTATGCCGTCTCAGTCACTGGTGGAGTAACAGATTTTCTGTCTCTAATATAATTAGCACGTAAAATAAAATGATCTATTCGATTAATATAATTGGAATAAAAAAAAAAAAGAAAAAAAAAAAAGAAAAAAGAAGAGCATAATGTCAATTTACCGAGCATTTAAGTAAGGAAAAAGATTTTATAGAGCCGAGGCTCTAAATAATCAAATTAGAGCGCACCTCAAATTTTTCACTTAGAAGAATCTCAAATTGATCATTTTGA